TCCATTTAAGTTGACTGTTTTTCCCTATTTGGGGGAAGTATTTTGAGATTATGTAAATGGTTCTGTTTCATATCAAACTCTGACTCTGCTTTTAACGTCTATTTGTGATTCTTTCCTGAGACAGTTGCCAAATGACGGTTTCATTCCATCATTCCTCCTGCACGTCAMTTCTGCRGTAGACTTGGTATTTTATTCTAAGGAAGAGCTCATTCCATCATTCCTCCTGCACGTCACTTCTGCGGTAGACTTGGTATTTTATTCTAAGGAAGAGCTCATCTGTATGGACTCTTGGGTTCTATTTTAGTCTATGGATTGTAACCATTACTGTTATTTTAATGCTCAGTTGTCCCATATTTGGCCAATGGGAAAGGCCCTTTAACCTGACTCCTGTGTCCTATTAATCTGTCCCTGTCATTCTTTCAGTACTTCCTTAATTTCTGGCAGGAGATGTTCCAAGCTTGTCTTGTCCTCCCCAGCGCTGGGATCCATCATTTCTCCAAGGGGTGCTGGTTCCTTTTGGTGGAGAATGGTATTTAGAAATCAAGACCTGGACACTGGGTATCGTTGCTCCTAGGCTCTCCCAGTGGACAGAGCTAGGGAATTTGTGTGTGTATAATCTCTGTATGTGGATATGTGTATAGCTATGTCTTTCTCTATCCATCTGTGTTTATTCAAACCCCTGAGGTATCATATTTTTATCATACTATAGGTTTCATGATTTATACCAACATTCTGCCTTTCCATACTTGTAACTTCCTTCCCCAAAAGTAAGAAACGTGGACCCCATTCTCTGCAACATATTTATTTGCTCAATCCTAGAATATACCATACGGGGTTAAAAGTTGATGGCTCATATCTCTCTGAAAAAACCTAGTAGTTCAGTATTTATAGTTCCTTTTGTCTTTAGCTTGAGGATAACATTGTCACAGTTCCGTGTTCAAAATTTACCTTTCTCCCTGTCTCGCTGCAGTGGTTTTATTATTTGAAATATGGTTCGGTTCCTTTTTATTCCATTTTAGGGATTCCCTTCCATTCTGACTGATTTTGTGCTTTGGTTTCGAGGTGATTGTTGTTTCTAGCGTGTGAAGCATTAACGTGGCTCCGGAAGTCAAGTGTACAAGAGGTGACTGCCCGCTCATCCCTTTCACCCTGGCCGTACCCGATCCTTTCCACCCACCCTGTAAGTCACCAGTCTCCTTAGTGTCTGCTTCCTCCTTCCTGTGTTTCTTTTTACACAAATGAGCACATACATGCATGTTATTTCCCCTTCTTTCTTACAACAAAAATCAGTATTATACTCTACTGCTTTCTGTGTTGCTTTTGCATTTGCTTTCTGCAGTTAACAGTATACAGTGGATGTCAGTCCATGCCGATTTGTAGACTCTTCCTCTTTTTAAACAGCTGCATCGTATCCCACCGTGTGGATATGGCATGGTTTACTCAGCATTCCTATATACGGACATCCCGATTTCTGATGTAACTACAAATAACACTGCAGTGACTAAGCTTGTGCAGATGTATTTTTGTGTTGTTAGAGGTGTGCCTTTGGGCTCTGTTTTAAAGTAACGGTGTATGTGGTTTTGTTAGAATCTATCAAACGTCCCTCCATGAGGGCTGTGCGTATGCATTTCCACCAGCAGTTTAGGGGCGGGTCTTGCCTGTTTCCGTACAGCAACACTAACTGAATGTGGCCTCAGACTTTAATATTTGACCGTCTGATAGATGAGAAATGGTATTACAGTGGGGTTTTAATTTACATCTCTCCTGAGTGAAGTGGAACTCCTTTTAAGATCCGTAAGGGCCGTTTTTATGTCTTTAATTTTTGTGAATTGTCTACTCATGTCTTTTGCCCATTTTTCTAATGGGTGGTTGGTCTTTTTTCCCTCTCAGTTTTAAAGAGATCTTTATATATTAAGAATATTAGCCCATCATCTGTGATAACTATGTTGAAAATGTTTTCTCACAATATTTTCCATTGGTTTCTGACAACAACCTGTTTTGATATTTTTTATGTAATGGTGGAGCTCCAATAATCTCCATTATTTTTATTTATTATTGTTATTTTTTAAATAATTTATTTTGGCTGCGTTGGGTCTTCGTTGCTGTGCGTGGGCTTTTTCTAGTTGCAGCGAGCAGGGGCTACTCTTCGTTGTGGTGCGCAGGCTTCTCATTGCGGTGGCTTCTCTTGTTGTGGAGCACAGGCTCTAGGCGCGTGGGCTTCAGTAGTTGCGGCACATGGGCTCAGTAGCTGTGGCTCGTGGGCTCTAGAGCGCAGGCTCAGTAGTTGTGGTGCATGGGCTTAGTTGCTCTGCGGCATGTGGGATCTTCCTGGACCAGGGATCGAACCCACGTCCCCTGCATTGGTGGCAGATTCTTAACTACTGCGCCACCAGGGAAGTCCCTCCATTATTTTTAATAAATAATACCACAGTACGTATATTAACTCTTATGGTGGTGTAAACACACCCTTTAAAGATAGAGATGCTTGATAAATGTCAAGTGCTGTGCCCCTGCCAGTGTAAACAGGACTTTCTGACCTTTTTGAGGCAAGGTGTAGGAGAGTCTCCTGAAGGGTGTGGACCTTCCCCCCAAAGACACACGTGTGCACCATGTGGCCTGGCTGCGGGCCTGCTTCAGACAGAACAGTTAGCTGAGCTCTGCTTTCTTTTACCGAATCGCTCTTTGTTCTCCACCCTTCTCCAGAAAGATGTGAGGCATCTCTGTGATGCTAAGGACAAGAAGCATTCATTTCCAGCAGCATGCTTGTTTTCTGTTTTGGGGGTTGCATCGCTTCTGCCTTTCCTGGTTGGGTAGGACAGATCCAGACAGTCCGCACCTGGGTCGGGGGAGTAGGCCTCTGCAGGGATGAGGGGTGCTCTTTGCTCTGCACTGCTGGACATCGAGCAGAAATGTCCCTTCCCAGCCTGGGGGCCAGAAGCTGCCCGCTGAGGAGTAGCGGGCTTCTGTGTCTGCACCTGTGAGCCGCAGCGGGCAGCACAGGCAGACCTCAAGGCTTCATGCGTCCTGGGCCACGTGACTTGGCCTGTCTGGGCCTTGACTTTGAGGCCCATTGGAAGCTCAGTGTAGCCGAGTGATGAAGAAGAGTCTCTGGAGGAGACCTCCTGGGCTCAGTCCTGACTCCACCGTCTCCTTGTCCTGCAATGTCTGGTGCCCTCTGTGTCTCAGCAGCTGCCTCCTCAGTGAGTTAAAATGGGAGAAATCAGAATAGCGGCCAGCGCATAGAGCGTGCGCAGTGATTGTTAGCTTTTACTGTCATCAACCGCAGAAGAAATATTTATGGGATGTTGTGAAATTTAACTAAGATAATGTAAAGTGCTCATCATATATACGCCATAAATTTTAATTCTTTGAGTTTAGAAATAGAATGGAGTTTTTAAAAATCTTTGACTTCTCAGGAAGGAAGTTTGCATTTCTATGCTGCTTTGTGTTGAGGAAACAGCGTTACCCTGTCTACAGAATTGCTTTATGAGTTATTTCTGCCTGGAAGGGGGTGTCATTGTGTTCTGAGCTCAGCGTATCCCAGGCTGCCCAAGCCTTGCCATGCACTCATTCTCTCAGACAACTTGATGCATTTCTTCTTTCAAAATTTCTACACTGTCTCCTGGGTGGTCTCATAGATCCCTCCCTACAGCCTGTGGGTCAGTGCCTGCCGGTGGTAAGGACTTTGCTGGTGAAAGCAGTTGAGTTTATTATTCACTCAAGTAAGGGGCCGCCTGGCCTTTTATGATGTGCGCTTTTTTATCAAGGATGTGTGGCCAAACATTATACAGGCACAGGCTTCATCCAGTCATCAGAAACCTTCTCAGGGCCGAGCAGGTCCTGTGCTCTGGCTGCAGCAGAGGTGCCTGGACACTCTCCAGGCTCCTGTTTGCGCGTCCGGTGGAGCGGAGGAGGACTGTTCACAGTCACAGCAGGCATACGGAGTTAGAACTAGCTGCCCGGCACTGTGCTGAGCGTTTACAGGTAGCATCACGTGTATTCCTCACGGCAGCCCTCTGCAGTAGGCACTTAAGAGCCTCCGTTTTACAGATGAGAAAACTGAAGCGCAGAAAGACTCAGTGACACACAGAGGTCACGTGGTGCCTGTGGGCCAGGAGAGGCCGTCTGGCTCTCCGGGGGTCAGTACAGACCTTCCCTCTCCAGTAGGGGAGTGTCCCTCTCCTCCCCCACCCCCCATTCTGGTTTTTACCACATCTGTTCTCTGAAATGTGGCCGGGCCTGCTTTGCATGCTTAGCAGAGCAGCGGGAAACGCACTGAGTGGCCAGTGCCAGCTGGGTTTTTTGTAGTTTTACAGAAGACTTAGAAGTCCTATTTCTCCCCCACTGGAAAGGGTGAAAAAAGGTATACAGTTACATGACTTCTAATGAGAGAAATATGGAAACAATAGGAACAGGGGCATGAGACTTGAGGCTGTTACAGACACATCAAGAAATAATAGCATTTCAGAATTAAGTGAAATCACCAAGAAGTATTATAAGGACGGACTACAGATGGGGAAATGAGCATGGCAGCATCCTGTGCACAGTTAGATCAGGTTAGACATCTATCCCTAAAACAAGGGTAAGTCGGTAGAAAAATAAAAATAATGCCAACAGTTGGGCGAGGTTTGCTGAGTGCTGGAAGCCAGCATTTCAAATACTGGAGTCTCTTTCATTTGCATGTCAAAAAGGCTGACCAGCAGAACTGGTCTAGTTGTAACTCAGTTTTTTCTGAGCGGTGGGAAAGATGGCTTATCCTGTGAAAGAAGGGGGAAAAGGAGAGTTTTCTTAAAGTTTAAGAAAACAATCTGAGGCTGAAATCCTTTCATTACAAACGTTTGAAACACAGGTACTTTGTACGTGTTTGGTCTCCTGATAGCAGTCTCTCCTGACTGCACATAATCCAGCCTCACTGCCTCTTTTCTAAGAGGAAGGAGGCATGACTCCCCCTCCGGGGCTGCTGCCCTGCCAGCGGCCTATCTCAGGATCCTCTGTTTCAGGTCTCTGTCCTGGGATGCCCTGACCCAGTGGTACATGAAATTGCCTATCAATACGGAAAAAACGTGGGACTCGCTTTTCAGGTTGGTCCGCTGCTTTGTAAGAGTGTGGCCTGTTGGTCCAGCTGGCAGGGTGGCGGGGACACTGGTGTGGTGCTTGTGACAGCCCTTTCTCCCTTTCCAGCTAATAGATGACGTCCTGGACTTCACCTCGTGTTCTGACCGGATGGGCAAGCCGACCTCAGCCGACCTGAAGCTCGGGTTAGCCACCGGTCCCGTCTTATTTGCTTGTCAGCAGGTAGGTTTTTTTGGGCTGCATTGGGTTTTCGTTGCTGTGTGCGCAGGCTTTCTCTAGTTGCGGCGAGGGAGGGCTACTCTTTATTATGGTCCGGGGGCTTCTTATTGTGGTGACTTCTCTCGTTGCGGAGCATGGGCTCTAGGCGCGTGGGCTTCAGTAGTTGTGATACATGGGCTCAGTAGTTGTGGCTCACGGGCTTAGTTCTCCGCGGCATGTGAGATCTTCCTGGACCAGGGCTCGAACCTGTGTCCCCTATATTGGCAGGCAGATTCCTAACCACTGTGCCACCAGGGAAGTCCTAGCAGATAGGTTTTGTGAACTCCCTTGGACACATTGCTGAGAAGCCCTGCAGGACCAGGACCTTCCAGGCATGGCTGATGGGAAGGTTAGATGAGGAGATGGAAAGCATTTCTAAGAGACCACAGCTCCAGATTTGATCCTAGTTCCAGGACTGAGGTGTCCAGGCCAGTCATTCCACATCTAAACTCTGTCCGTTTCCTTATCTGTAACATTGAGAAGATGACAGCCTTCCTCCTAAGGTCATTGTGAGGATTAAGTGAGATGATGTTCGTGCAGGTACTATGTAACTTAAGCACTGTGTGCATGTAAGGAAGCATTGTGACTCTTTCTGTGTGTCCTGGGCACTGACAAGGCGGATGGTGTCTACCTACATCTTGATGATAGGGCTGGACTTTGGCTGTGCCTCAGAGCCCCTTAAACAGGCACAGGAAGGCCTCCAAGCATGAGAAATTCTCCAGTTCTAGAAGTTTAATGGGACTGTTTGCTGCTCTCAGAGAGCCTCAGCCATTGCCTCAAAAATGTCAGGAAGTCAGTGGAATGCACTAGAACCACATAATTCCTCCTTTCTCCAGGTTGAGGGGCTGTCAATTAAGGAAGTAAGTTAAGCTACCTTTATATTCTCCTTAATACGGATGAAAAGCTGAGGAGAAGCGGCAGAGATGCTGTGGTGACTTGCAAGGCAGACATTTCCAGAACCTGCTTTGGCCCCTGGCCACGCTGCTTCTGGCTGTGCCAGATGCTCTTTGAAAGAAGTAGAGCCTTAGCTGGTGTTTGGACAGCTTTTGAATAGATTTTCATCTTAGTGGTATTTAATTTGTTATTGAGCAAAGCAGTAAAGTGGTCATCGCTGTGCCACGAAATCAGAAATTAGCTCTTTGATCTAAAATTGTGTAACTTTTAGTCTTCCGAAGATTTTGCCTCTATTCTTTCTCAAAATTTACAAAGATAAATCATGTCTTCCATAGACCTCGATGATTCCATTTTGATATTACAGAAACCTTGCTTTCGATCAGTTGCTGGTGCAGGAAAGGAGAGGTCATCTTTTGGTCACTATCTAATAGAGCCGTAAACAGGGTGACCCTCTGAGGAGGCTGATGCTTGGGGGCTGGGCCGCTTACCTTGGGCGGCCCAGTAGCGGACAGCAGTCAACCCAGGAACGAGGGCAGGGAATGGAGGTGCTGATGACCAGGCTCTGGGCACCCTCTCAGGACATTGAGGCAGAGGTGAGAAGTGCAAGGGCTGCTAGGAGTGGCTCCTTTCTCCCACACAGACTGACTCGCCCACCCAGAACTCAAGAAGAGTATTCATACGTGTGCCGCGTTCTGGCAAAAATCTGTCAAATCCCCTTGTGTGCATTAAAGCATGAGTGAGGGACTTTTTTTTTTGTTTGTTTGTTTGTTTTACCATTAACCCACAAAAAAGCAGAGGATTCATGAGCCATGTAAACGTAAGGCATCCTCAGATTCGGAAGACAAGGCGCTGGCTGCCGTGTGCACAGCTGCAGACATGAGTCTGTTCCCCAGGCCCTGGTGAGGAAATGTGAATAAGGAAAACAAGCTGGGCCGGCTGCACTGAGCTGCTGCAGCCCTGGGCTTATCAGGATGCCTGAGGAAGGCACCTTTCCCTGAAGAAGCCTGCATCTACTCAAAAGCCTTGGGGGCTGTGCTGATAGAAATCTTTACAAGTATAAATAATTGTCATGAGCCCCGTGATACTAAGTTAACACCTGAGTCCTGCTTCAATTTTAAGATGACTGAGAATGCTTGCCTCTTCTGATTGTGTTTCACTATGAACATATTTCAAAAGAAATGCATTTGCTTTTCTCTACACAAAGGAGTATGACTAATTCTGTGTTCAGATACGGAGGGGCAAAGTCGGGGAAATGGACCACTCCTACAGATTGACTTGTCAGTTACCTACAAGAGATTAAAAAATGATGGTTTAAAAAGGCAAGGAAAAGGAACAAACAAAAGCTTCCAGTGTCCCAAACCACAGTTGTGTGTGTATCACTGGGAAATCCCAGCATCACAAGGCACATACTCACCCTCAGCAGACAGCGCTTTTCCTGTCGGTCCAGAAGGCAGCAGGAAAAGGAGTTACAAGGCACATCGTGCAGCCTTAGAAAAGGGACACAAATAAGGCCGAGCACGACGCGGCTCTGGACAGGACTTGTTTCCTAAGCAGACTGATTGTTCTGTCTCACAGCACATGGGCCAAAAGTTAGGTTAGATACGTCTAAGTTCTTTTCAACTATAACATCAAGTTTAGGCTCTACAGCAGATCATACTGTCAAAAATTAGGTTCTTGGTCAGAAATTTGTCAAGATTTTGGAGCTAAGATTGGGGTAAAACAAGTCCCCAAAATAACATGAGAACGTGCCATATCTCCATTTAATGAAAATGCATTGTTTTTATAATTTGCAAAGGATTCTTTTGTTTGTTAACTCTGATCTCACAACTCCTTTTTGTGGTAGGTATTATGTGCCTTCTACAAGTAAGAAAGTGATGCTCAAAACTTGGCCAGAATGAAACCTCTGGTAAACGGCACAACAGGCAATTAAACACTCCATGTCTTCAAAGACCAGAGTCGTTTCACCACACGCTGCAGTGTTACTGCCTCTGCTCGTGGCGATCAGCGCAAGTGCCCCATGGGCCTGAGCCCTGGGAGGCCGCCCAGAGCAGAGGACTGGCTGATCCCGCACTGAAAAGGCACTGACGACACTCAGAGGAGTCTCAGTGTCGGCCTTCAGTATTTGTCCTTAACCTGCCCGTTTAGTGGAGTAGTGGCAAGATGTCTGTCATCTTTCTCCATAGGTAGGTGAGTTTCGTTTGCAGATTAGATAAATTAGTCTTTGAACTTTTCTGCTTATGAACATGGAGTTTCACTGGACCAAGACAAGCAGCCTTGGGAAAACACTTTCCCTATTTAGCATGCTGGGTTGTCTTGAAATTGGAGTTTGTTGATAGAAAGTCCCTCTGTCTGGAATTCACTATTTTTGACCTCTCTCTGAAGGGGTTTCTTGACAACAGGGTATTTAAGAAAAGCTTCTGGATTGCTGGGAGGTCCCAGAGATGACTGTCCTTCCAGGTATATGTGTACACATACTGTCTATAAAAACAAAAACCTTATGTTAAAGTAAACCTTTAAAGAATAGAGATTGGATTTCAAGATCTTCAGAAACCAAATGGAAGTGTTTTCTTTTTTTGGTGAGATTCCATTAGTTCCCAGATACCCTTTAAAAGCTCTCTCCTTCCTTCTGCGATCAGTCAGCAGACCTAAATGTCAGCCTGTAGTCATGCTTCCACTGCTGTCACCAGCACCAGCCCCGCACCAGCTGCACGGGCTTCTGCTCGCTGTGACTGTTGGGGCCTTAGAGTCACCCAAGTTCTGCTCGAGTAACAAGCTCACTACACTTTACTGATCGCCTTTGTCGTGAGTTTATGGACAGATTTCACAGTTGGACTCTGATTCATCCACGGATGATTTTCCTACTCGTAAAATCAGAGCCTAGGCCAACAGGAACCTTATTTCTCAGCACATCTGCCTGTTAACATTTCTTATTTCTTCCCACACATCCTGGGGACAGGGGAGCGCCTCAGGGAAGAGTTTGGTATTGATACTTGCACATTAAGACTGCACACACTACACGTGTCAGAGGAAGGATGCAGTCACACTCAGTGAAGGAAAAAAATTGTTTTTTTCAAATTTTGCTTTCTCAGTGCTTTTTATAGTAAAAGGAATCAGAGAAACCGCCCAATCAGCACATTTTACCATTGTTGTTGGTGCTGCAGAAAAAGCTCGTCTACCCTAAAAATGGTAATTTTACCAGATGCCCAGGACAGTATCACATTAGCTTTAAGGATATACGGCCTTATAGAAATCCAAGTTTGAAATGTGGTATTAAGAAACTAAGACCAATGCCTACTTGATTTGACTTTTGACCAGTAAAATTGATTTGAGCTTTCCTGATTTGTTTCCTATGAAACTTCAATTTTTATTCTTAAAAGGCCAGTACCTAAAACTAATTACGGGTTTTCATTTAAGAACTAACCAGTTGCCGGCTCTGTAAATTTCATAAGGATGTTACTAGCAGCCTCTGCTTTGTCTGGACACGTACTTTGCTCTGAAAGGAACATTCTTAATTCCTCATTTGCCATCATCTAGTTGAGACTTTTCTCTCTCTGCCCTATTTTTCCTTCTAGGATTACTAATACCGAGGCGGTGGCTACAGGACCACAACTGCTTTCATCCCTCGGGCTCACTGCCAGGGAAGCGCTGGCAGCTGCTGTGAGCACTGCCGCAGCCAGAACCAGACCCCTCTTAACCTCTTATTTCATGGACCCGGAAGTTGGTAGAACTAAGAGATTTCTGATCAGGTAGCTCAGCCCCTTCCTAACACAGATGAGCAGGCTGAGGGGCTCAGCTGTGGCAGCACCAGGACTAGAGCTCCAGGCTAGACAGTGTCCTGGCTTCCCAAGTCCGATCATGGTGACAGTTCTCCTACCTTGCTGCCAAGTACTGTAGAACATAGATTTTGTCTTCAATGCGTCTTGTACCTGTCTTCTATTTTCCTCTTACTGCCATCAGCTTACCACTGGTCTTTAGAATTTACTACAGCAACCCGACTGCTGCTTCTACCTCTGTCTCTCTAATCCGATGGTTCTCAACCTTGGCTGCATATTAGAAATGACTAAAGTTTTTCAAACTATGGTGCAGGGTCACGTGACTCCAGGGCCGGCGGTGTCGAGCCGCGCTGCCCTCGTCCCCTCCACGGGCCGCCTCGCGGAGCTCTGCCTGTGATGCCCTCTGCTCAAAGACCTCGGTAGCCTTCGGTTGTCACTCAGTTTCAAACTAAAAACAGATTGCCCACCTTCTTCTTAGGCCAGTGGTTCTAATTTGTCAGCAGAGACCAGCAGGACCAGAAGCATCTGGGGACATGTTAGAAGTGCACACTCGGGCCCCAGCGCTACTTAATTAGAAACCTCGGGGGAGAGGCCCGGTAGGCCCCTAAAGCTGAGAGCCATAAGAGAAGCCAGTAAGGAGATTTTAGAGGTGAACGCTTGCTCCTCCTCTCTCTCTGACTCGGCCCTGGACCAGGGATACAACAGAACAGTGGAGGGAACATGGATCAACGGCTGTCCCTCTTGTGCACCAGCTCGTCCCTGGACCCGGAAACGGGCGTCCTTAGCTCTGCTGCTTTTAATCGCTAGTTTACTGCTCCCCCGCCCCCATCACTTAAACATTTACTCACTTTTGCGGATTTTTTTTACCGGTTTTTACCTACTAGTGTTTGAACATTTGATTTCTCCCAAGAGCATTAAATAGATTTTCTTTCTTTCTGGTTAGTTCCCAGAAATGAATGCTATGATAATGAGACGGTTCAGTTCACCAGGAGATGTGGACAGAGCGAGACAATACGTATTACAGGTGAGAGGATTTCAAAAAGAAGAAAGGCAACAGCAGGTACAGTGTGGCAGAAGAGTTCTTTAAACAAATAACGTAACGAATTTTTGACACAGACTAAGTTTGATCAATTCTTGATTTGGCAGAAACTGAGAAGGAAAAAGTTATATTATGCATTTTTCTTCTAGAAGTCTTCCCATTCTAATGTAATTGGCCTTGGGTGGGGCTTGGACGCTAACATTTTGGGGAACTCTAAGGGGTTCCCACGTGCAGTCAGGGGTAGGCCTGTTGGTTTGCAGCCAGTCTCCCCCACGTCCACCACAGCAGCTCCGCTGTCCTCCCGTCACCAGACTCCCCTCCTGTCCGAGCCCTAGGAAACTGGGCTTTCCTCGTCCATCCTACATAACTGCAGTAAATGTGCGAATAAAGAAACGGTACCTTTGAAAAAATTTTAAACCAACATAGCAAATTAAACTTTAACCTTCAGGGGCTATAAGCTTATTTCAAATATAGCACCACATATCCTCAGAACTTTTCTGTGGAAGCCAGATCTTTTTGCACATTTTCAGTTTGGATCACTGTATTTTGTGAATGAGCCGTTTGGAGCCAATAGGTCTCATGAATGAGAGAGAGTGAGCAATTTTTAGTAAGCAGTCGTAGTCTGAGATCTGTCGTTAAGTCAAATACCTGAAAGAATTCCAAGTAATTACCTTTCAGATTTTTAAAATTTCCACAAAGCAAAACCCCTTAACTCTCTATACGGTTAATCATAACGTGCTATGGCTACCACCTTTTTAGAGGGTAGTTTGGCTGTACTATTAAAAACTCAGTGTGAGGGCAGCAGGAGCTGATAAAGAAGGCAGTATACCTGGGAGTGGTCATGGCTTCAGAAATGATGATGTTACTGACGGCTAAAGTGAGAAGTGGGACTGAAAAGAGGGAAATTAACTGTGGCTCTTACACCACACGCTGAAGTTCCAGCAAGCCTGGGCAGAGGTGCACTTAGGCAACAAGTCCACAGGAATGTTCCAAAGACCTGTGAACTCCAGCTGCCTGTTCAGCCGCAGGGCTCCTAGCCCGTATTCCCTCACTAAATATGAATGGACAAGTCGGGTTTATTTAGTAGGATTGCTAAATAGTTGATTAAAGCTCACTGAATGAAAGAGTGAGACCAAGTTAAACAGACTCAGGAAAAATAATAGGGGGATTCAAAAATACTGCATTCATCAAACAAGAACAGGATAATATTTTCTAAAAAACAGTGAATAAGAACGAGCTCTAAGAAATTTTAAATGAATGTGAAAAGCCAACTCTGAAGAACTGTTGGAATGTGACATTGAAGAAGTCTTCAAAATGAATACAGCAGCTTCTAGAAGAAAATGCGAAAGGCTCTTAACAGGATCAGTACAATCATGCAACAAATATTTCAGGAAGAGACTCAAAAAAACAAAAATCAGAAAAAAGGTGGTCACCTACAAAAGGAAAAGTTCAGTACTGGCTCAGGGTGCAGCGAAACCCTGGACTCTAGAGGGCAGTGAGCGAGGCCATCCAAATGATGAGGAAACGCTTTCAACCTAGAATCTGTATCCAGTAAACCATCCACTAAGTAGGAAGGCCAATGTCACTGTTACACAAAGAACGAAAAAGTTGACTTCCAGTATACAGATTCTGGGTAAGTTATTTGCTGATGTGCAACAGAACTGTGGAAACACCAAAAAGAGAAAGACATGGGTACTAAAACCAGTGGAATGAACCAGAGTTCAATGAAAAGTCATCCTGTGATGGCAGCTGTACGGCAGAGCTACAAAGCAGTCAGTCTAAGTAACGAAGAGAAGGAGGCAATTATATTCAGAAGTGAGCTTCCGTACGGTAAGGCAAAGCAAACTAAAACATGTCGTATTTTGAGTCATATTTTGTGTAACTTGGTTCAGAAAACCAGAGGTCTCTCAACCATGATACTACAAATACTGTTTTGAATGACAGAGGGAACCATGGAGAAGGAAATAAAATCACAGTACATGTCTAGATTCTGCAGTAAACATTTTGACATAATGGAAATAGTAAATGTAATTATTTTATTAGTGTTTAGCTTTTAGAAAGAACCAACATAAAAACATGGGTACAGAATGGAATGCAAGTCAAGTCTCTAGTGTAAACATAGAGCAAAGAGAAGGAGCACTGGTGTCCTCATCTTAAAGATGAAGCCAGAAGTCGATGCCACATGATGTGACAACAGTAATCTGTATTAGAACTAAAGATAGCAGGCAGTGGTCAAATTAGGAGACAGTATGGGTGGGCTAAATCCTTGTCTTTCTTAGCAGAAAGGCAATAGATAACAACTAAAATTACGAATTGAAACATTAAAGCCAACAGATAAAACTGGTGCCTTTGGAAGAAGGGAACTGTTGCTTTTCATCGTAAGCTCTTCTGTACTTTTATTTATCATGTATGTGTGTTAACTTTCACTTGGAATTTTACTGTATAGATTTTATATGCAGAACTTTTTAAAAACTCTAATGCTTAAATGAAAAATAGGGGGAAATAGAAGGTTACTTGATATTAATGAGTTCACTGCTTGGCATGCTAATAGAATAAAAACGTGCTTCTGTCTAAGAAAGGGGCCTAAAGGAAGTGGGCGGAGGAAGCTCTGTGAGTTGGAGAGAGAACATTTGAAACACAGTTCGGCTCCTCACTACCGGATCTCAAAAGTATGTTTTAACTCATATAGCAGGAATTTAAGAGCTGATCCCAGTGGGTGACATGCATCTGTTCTGTTGTATTTTGTCCTGTGTCCCGTAGAGCGATGGTGTGCAGCAGACAACCTACCTCGCCCAGCGGTACTGCCGTGAAGCAGTGAGAGAGATCAGTAAACTTCGACCATCCCCAGAAAGAGACGCCCTCATACAACTTTCAGAAATCGTGCTCACAAGAGATAAATGACAGCTCGTTCTGTTATTTCTGGCAGCTATTTTACCAGACTGTGCCTAAAGAATTCTGTGGAGTATACTTTGCTTCATGTGCAGGTAACCAAAAAATCATTTTAAAAAATTATTTCCACCTTATTAATGGGACTTTTTTTATTGGCAAAGTTTTTCAGAAAACTTTTTAAATGTCATTAAACCATCTGAATCTGTCATTCTAGTCCTGTAAACTCTAATCGCGGTACTTGACGGTTAGATGTGGTATTGTTTACACGGTTAATATCCACATGTAAAGCCATTACACAAATAAATAATCAATGTTAAAATTCAAATGGTTTATCTTGTTTCACCATAGGAGTAAAGATCATAAAACTGAAGTCTACATTTCAATCCACATTAGTTAGATTTTAACAGTATCCAAAATTTCATATAGGAGAATGGTTTATTATAAAAGACTGTACATAAAATTTAGACAACAGGTTATATACAAAATTAAGAGAACAGTCCACTCTAAAAAATGAAGAAGGTAACTGATCAATAGTGATACTGGAATCATGTTTAAAATCAACAAAGGCAAAATGCATATTCAACAGTCACATTGATTTGGTAACAATAATGGTCTTTAATTTTCAGAAATATACGTTTTGCACTAGTCTTACCATTTACTATGCTGTTATCTGTAATGCCCAGTACATAACTGTAATTTGAAATCCAAACAAATCCTCAGTACACAGAAACCCACAGGTGAGTGCTCTACTTTAACATCCTAGGCAGTATGCACACGATAAGAGAAAACATCCCTCTAACCCTCCCTTAAGTTAAGAGGAGACACACAAAGTGCACGTGTTGCATTTCAGTTATGTCAAAAGACAATACAAATCTGTTGGTCAGGTATATCCCTGTTCAATGATTAATACATGGTGCACCTTTTTTCCCCAATTATTTTATTTTTAAAATCTTTTTATGTTGCTAGTGCCAGGTAATGGGTTAAACAGTGCGTATTCAAAAATCAATCGCATCCACTTCTACCAAAAAAATATGTAAAAGATAATTATTTCCTTTCATTGAACCAGTATATCACAGTCCACTGGAAAACCAAAGGACTGATAGAGCAATCCTTAAGAATTTTACCTACAGCATGTGCACTTCCACACATTTTCTTAGCTTTGAAAAAGTTACTTTAGAAAAGGAATTCAGTAGACTGACTTGTAAATAACCATCTCAGATTTTAAATTCTACAAAAATCAGCCACTGCTGTTGGGATAGGTTGAGAAAAGGCTAAAATTTTTTTCCCAAGTTAATATATTGAGAAAATAGAACCATAATTCTGCCATAATTCAGTATCTTTTATTATTTTTTTAAAGCAAACCAGTGAAGGAAAGGACAAAAACCTTTGGTTCACTTACGTATTTATGAATGGACAAAATTTATAATGCAAATTCACTCATTAAAAAACTTCGGTACAAATGACAAGACTACAGGTAACCCAATTGTCTTTGTTTCACATGGAGATCTTAGAGACTCAATTCGTTTCAAGAGACCTAAGTACGAGTACTCCAAGTAAGTATTACACAAATTGGAAGCATCTTGGATTTTGTTAAGTATATTTCAATACATAAATTTGTATGCATGCTTTAAACAAACAGTATATTTCAAGAATGAGAGAGTCTAAACAAAAAGTATGACCAGCACCAGCATTTAAGTTTTCTGATTTTAATATTAGTCTGACAGAGCGTTAGTAACCATGCTGCACTGAAACATGTAATGGCACAATCTGAGTCATGATTTGTGAAATATTATACCCCACACCCCCAGAATATTTAGGCTGGTCATGAAGTTAACAATGTGTAAGTAAGTATATAAGCACAATCAGTGACAGACAGCCTCTTGTATAGATTGCTGTTTAGCAATACCCCAACTGCCTCAGAGATTTATGCTTACAGGTAGACATTCAATTATACCAATAAAACAGCATGTCCTGAACATATGGGCACATTTTAAAACATTTTAAGACAATCCTGTTAACCGTAATAGTCCCACAGTATGACTGAGTGATAATAAGAACCTACTTTAAAAGCAAAGATTTAATCAGTATAGTGCATGATCGATTCAACATAGTTCCCAGGGAACAGACCAGTCACTCGATTGCAGACTCCTTCATACCAGCCATCATCGTTCTTCTTTATTACATAGATGATCGCACCCTCCATAAATGATAGCTCATCATCCTTGTCTTTTGTATAATCATATATTGCCACAACTATGGAGAAAAGAGTTGAAATATCATGTCAGTGCACTATATCCAACATTTAATCGAATTTTAAAATGTAATACCAATTAACAGTATAGCCAACCCAACTATTTTAATGAAAAGTCTTAATTCTTAAATCTATATACCAGGTAGGTCAAGTAGCCAACCATGGCTACTAAATCACTAGCTTGATCTTCGGGCCAAACTGACAACTAAATTAGAGAAGTCAAGAGTTTCTACCAACCTAGGTAGGAAAGATCTCTGAATTTTAGGATTTATTAGATGTTTCAATTCATTCGTTCAAATGTCTACTAAGTGCCAACCACATGCAAAGCACCATTTTTCAAAATAACTAGTAAGCAAAGCTGCGTAGCCAATCAGTAAACCAGGTAACAACCATCTAATTTAAAAATATACATATACTGGGAGGTGAATATCCTACCCATCGCAGGAGAATATTCATGTAGTTTATGGGGCTATACCTAGATTTAAATATACATACACATATGCGCACACACACACACCCCTTAAAGGTCAACAAGAATTTCTATTTTTAAAGGGGAACTAGGTGAGTAAAGACTCATTAATTAAGACTTAGAGAACCATTTTGCAATTCTGTGATTATGCTGAGTTCAAAATATCCACTTCCTTTGCAAACAGTGTTGTGGAAAGGAAAGGCATCAAACAACTACCAGCTTTCCAAACTATTGGTTTATGAATTTAATTATTCCTTCCTCTGTCTTTACAACATAATTCTGAAATATGTAATTTTCTAGTATATGTGAAACAGTATGTCATACAAATTTTTTTTCATTAACTTACCTCAGGTAGTGTTTCTCTTAAAATAGAGTTTTTAAGACATTTAAGATCTTCTGGAACTCATTTTTCCCTTAAGAAAGGTGGCTTTGCCCCATAATTATCCTGAACCAGTGAATTACAATAAGGAAGAGACGTGTAGTACTGATCCACAGCATCATTTTCTAAACTGAAACAGGCAATCTTTTTTCCCCTTTACAAAACAGTATATGAAGTAAATCCAACAAGTCCATTCTCCATTTTAATCTTGTAGCAGAATCACAGTATTGTGATCACAAGCTCACTTAACATACCAGTTTTAAAAACACCAAAACATACAGAATAAATAATGTTAAATTATTATCCTGGTGTTTTGGCTAAATAACCACCCAAGAAAACCGAGTGACTGCTAGGGAGAAACATTTTCTTTGTATTCAGAGTCCCATTTTGAGTGGTACAGATGACTTTTAAACTGATCATGACAACACCTGACACCCTCAAAGTCATTCAGCAAAATGAAAATATTATTTCCTCGGGTTCTTAGTTCTACTTGTACAAAGAGCTGATAAAAACACTGTGTCAAATTAATTGTTTCTATTTTCCAAATCCCCTCTGTAAATGAAACCTAGTCCCACCTAACTTCCCCTCCCCCAGTGCATATATTCTCTCATTTAATAACTCTCACTGCTGAGTATTTAACCATTCAATGTCCATTCTATCTCCAGGACCCTAACTCCACATAAAGATCTAAACTCTCCCTTCTGTATGTACTTAACGGTAGGGTTCTTTGGAAATAGAAATCTAATATTCTTATCTACCTCTATCTACATGATTAAAAATTTGAAAATAGCTGTCTAGTCCCTCTGAAATCTTTTTCCTCAACTTAAAAACAGTGCTTTCAGCTGTTTCTTTTTATAGATGCACTTTCTAGATATTTCAGCCTCCTGAATATCCTCCTCTGAAGGCATTCTTGTTTGCAAGATCCTGAAATATGGTACTTAAAATTAAACATAATACTGGTCTACTATAAATGAATATTATCAGATTTGTACATATTAGGTTGAAGTTCAGCTAATGTACCCTAAGAATCTGACTTCTGGAACAGTCATGTCATACTGCCAGGTTAACATATTCAACTGAACTCCTATTAAACCAGGTTTTAGTCATCTTGTGATTTACAAAGGTGACTATTGAAGGCTTGGACTCTAACCCTACTAAATACCCTACTAAATACTAAAACTCTCTGGTTTAGACCAGGAGTCTGCAAGCAGTGGCCCATGGCCAAATCCAAGCCGGTGCCTCTGTTTGTCCGTGAAATTTTGCCGGGGCACAGTCGTGCCCGTTCACTTGTGTGCTACGACTGCTTTTTCCTTTTTTTTTTTGGCTGCACTGCATGGCTTATGGGACCTCAGTTCCCCAACCAGGGACTGAATGGAACCCTCAGCAGTGAAAGTGCCAAGTCCTGACCACTGGGCCGCCGGGCAAGTCCCCACGACGGCTTCTGTGCTACAACAGTGGGGTTGAGTAGTTGTGACAAGACTGAATGGCTGGCAAGTTTAAACTATTTCATTTTGCAATATATACAGCTATCAAATCACTCTGCTGTACACCTGAAACTAACATCACCACCACATTGTAAATCAACTATACTCTAATTAAAAAATAAAGAAAAAATAAAGAATCCTCACTTTATATTGGGAATGTACAGGAACTAAATCATCTTGGCTGGTAAAGCTATTCTCAAGGTGGAGAAACGCTGGACTCTGTGTTTTTTATGGCTCTAAAATACTATAATTAGCTCTTACCCTTTACAGCAGTTCAACGATGACTGTACCCTACCTTTCTCGATGTAATTTTTGGGGGCCCAAGCAGGATCCCCATCTGCATATGGATCGTTATACTGGACTACTGCGGCCTCCTCATCTTCATAGTCCACTGGCGGCGGCGGTGGCGGTGGTGGAGAGTCGTCAAACATGGGAATGTCATCTGGTGGAGGAGGAGGTGGTGGGGTCGGACTATCAGCAACTAAAACATCCAGATACTGAATTTGAATCAGAAATCAGACTAGACAGAAACTCGTAAGTTAACAGAATTGAAGAAAGCTCTAATTCGTATACAGCATGCACTATAATAAAACATGCAATGATTAGAAATAAAAGCTTGGTGTGTTAAAGCTTCTACTACTTTTAAGAATAATTTTGCAATAATAAAATGAGCTAAAAAATTAAGGGTATTAGGAAGTTCTACAAATTAATGAATGCAGAGGTTAGGAGACAATCTGTTTAT